TCAACATGCTCTACAACTTGGGCTAACGAAAAAAAAGGGTGTGGGTGGTTTTGATAATTAATGCTCATTGGTTTTGGTTGTAATGTTTGAAATCAATAAGAGACTTAGTGTAACCTTCAAAGTACGAGGATAATCACTCATCCTCGTCCGAAATACAAGTGAAAAATAACCATTTGTATGTGAATCGATCTGAATATGTCGTCTTGAAATAAAATATTTTTTGCTGTGTGTCTCTCAAGTACATTTTCTAAGAATAGTGAGCTCGATGTACGAATCACTAGATTAAACTTTCTCGACTGTTGAAAGACAGAATAAAAAGAATGAAGCATAACAAAACAAAGAAACAAAAAATAATACATTGACAACTTGATTTCAACTGAAGATGATAAAAATATGTTGAGAAGAAAGCAGTGCCGATCTCGTAGGAAGTATTGATGAAGTGATGAATATTTTGGTTTTTTGTAGTACTTGAGATAGTTCATTTTATCTAACATTTATTCAATGTTAAAATAACGTTAGTTGTCAATCGAAAAATGAACTTTTTCGATCTTTCCTTGTGAAAAAATAACACAATGACACATGTCTACAGTGTTAATGATTTATTAAAATTTCAAAAATAGCTAGAGACATTTGATCTTGTGGTTCGAGTAGAACTCTAAATACTCGAATATTTAAGCAATGGATCTCATATTTTGGATATATAACTAAGATTAATGCGAACATATTTCTATCAAAAAATAGTTAAAAATTTTCACCAGGTATCATGGAAAACAAGGCATAAACTTTAATACTACATATTTGTTCATATTGAAAGCATTTTATCGATTTTTTAGGTACTAAAAATAAAAAAACACGTTACGATAATGTCGGACTTCTATAAAAGAATCAAACTATATTTAGCTATCTAATTAAAAGCTGTGCAGAATTTTCTGACAACTTTCATGATGATGATTGATCAGAGTGAAATAAGAGTGAGATCAATTGGGTGATTGCGAAATGGATAGCAACCCTCCTTCTCAACCATTGCTCACTTAATTTTGTCATAATGACAAAAAAATACAGTATATAAATTTTTGTCTTGCTTTCCATGATACATAGTGAATGTTTGAACTTTTTTTTTGATAGAAATATGCTTCCATGCATGCTGGCTATATATGCGAAATATGAGGTCCATTGCTTGAATAGTCGAGTATCTAGATCTAAGATAATATCTCCATATTCACCATAGCGCAACCCATAACGCCACTTGTGTCTAGTAAGTGATATATGTCGGAAAATTTCAGAGAGCAGCAGGCAAATATAGAAGAGCACTTTCTGAAAATTTGAAGTCGATTTATCAAACCATTATTGAACTACCCATGTAAATATACTATGCATCTAAATCGCAGCAATCGAACACAGTTCAGATGAAACATTTCTTGCATCCAGATGCGATTCGATATCAAATCGCGTTCAGATGTGGTTACCAGCAAAATCGCGGTCAGACGCAATTCAAACTAAAATCGCGTCGAGACGCTTGCGATTCGGCACTTGGATTTAAAAAAAAATATTACACTCCGTCTCAGGTTTGGTCTTTTTCAGCCAAGGTCAGTCATACATACTCGTCGTCTTAAAAAGAGCATATTCTTCTGAACTGAAATTTAAAACTATTTATCAGACAATCATGAAACCTGTTTAATGGTTTCGATCAGAAAGTTTCTATCTAATACCATTTTTTTTCATACATTCCTTGATTCGGATTGCAAACCTAGTAATATACTAACAAATTAAGAACATAAAGGAATAAATGCTTTCAGGATTTTTGTAGTCTCAGCAAGTCTTATAAACTGATATGCAATTGTATTTGAATATCTTTCCTTATGGTATTCGGCATGAGTTCCACGAAATTACAACTGAACAAGACAATTATCGGTGTCGGTGACCAGTAAACGATTGTAGATTTTCTCTCTGGATTTTTCTTAAAAATAAATTTACCACTTTATAATTATTATTCACCCTCTTGAGTTGTGTTCTATTTCGAAAGAAACTATTCAAATATCAAAAAAAATCAATGTGGCACGATAGAATGAGAATAACCCTACAAACTTTTCACGCATGTGATATTATAACTTCTACTTTTAACTAAATTTTGTCCTTTGAAAGTGGAAATTTTATTGTAGCGGAATGTATTCGACTGTTGGTGCACAATATAAGTAGCATAAATGGAAGCAGTGCACTTGATAATCATTTATCACGATTAATTCGGCTGTCATCGATAGCATATTCTATGAGTAAGTCAACTTCAATTAGTATTTCTTTGATGATCTCGCAAATAACTGCTCTTCGTTGGTGTCTATCGGATTCTCTGGTGAATTGTCTTACTGAACTCGACAATGCTACTCAAGTTGAAGAGGCACTTGCTAATGATCCTAATGTTCCATCTCTTCTTTACATTCGATCAGCAGAGCTTTTCGCTTTCTATCTACTGATTATTCACCGATATTATCCAACATATCAATCGACCTATTTTCTCAATAAAACAACAGTAGCAGTCACTGCTTTTCCATTGTTTGCTCTCAATCTCTATGCAAAACAAAACAGTACTGCTCCACATCGTGCTGTTAATTTGCTCGGCATGGCCAGAGCATATGCTCAAATTGGAAAGAGAAACGAAGCAAATAAACTCTACAAAAAACTTCTTCAACAGTGGTCGAATTCGATTTGTTCATCCGATCTTGATCAAATCGTAATTCGAGAAGCCAATCAATATCTGAAAGGATCACAAAGTGGCATTATGAACAAGGGCATTGATCATTGGTTATTTTTATTTTCAATAATCTTTACATGTTTATCTTTTCTGTTTTATTTTCCTGATTGTCACTAAAATCTTCAAATGATCTTAATTCAAAATTTAAATTGACATTCATATATTCATTATAAGACTTGAATAAACTATCAGTACATTAAGTTTCTTTTTTTATGATATTCACATGCATGTGTGTATTTTAACTTCTAATAATTAACCTACTAATTGAAAATGATTTGTAATTGTGTAAGAAAATATGACTAACCACTAATGTCGGCGCCAAAAATAGATGGAGAAAACTGTAGGAGTAATATCTTGCGAATGGATGTAGCTAGCGAGCTCATCTTTTCAGCGTTAGAAAGAGTGGTCTTGCGGGGACAAATCTACATTAAATTCAGTAGGTGAGTGAGTGTTCAAGGCTGTTAATTACCGTTGAAGATTTTATGCCCTATCGGACAAAAACGTTTTCAAATAGATTTTTAATCCAAAGGTGATCATTCGATAGCGCAAAGTCTGCTCTTTTAATCTACGAAAGTTCGAACTTTTTATCTTGTAGTGTTCAAAAGTTATTCAAGTTATATTGAGTATCTGTAACGTGTCAAAAATATGATTTTTTCGAGAGAGAAGTATCTTTTCATTGTTGGTGCATGAGGGTTTTCAACCAATTTAAGTCGCATAACGACAAGTGATTAGTCGTTCCGACATAATTCACTTCGATCACCACTATGTTCTATCGCTTTCTTTTGAATCTAATGCAAATGACACTGTCTACCATACATACTTGCTTCTTTTTCTCTGTATCGTGAAATTTTGACTCGAAAAATGTTAAATGCACTTTCGCTTTTCCATATTTCTGCCTATTGACTAGAAAGAAAGAAACGGTAGATTTTTTTGGTAATTCTCTCTCATCTACATATATATATGTATAATATTATTACTAACTCTATTCTTCCACGTGTTTAAATCATGAGGGTGTGGGTGTGGGTGTGGGTGGGTGTGTGTGGTGTGGGTGTGGGTGTGGGTGTGGGTGTGGGTGTGAGTGTGGGTGTGGGTGGTGTGGGTGTGGGTGTGGGTGTGGGTGTGAGTGTGGGTGTGGGTGGTGTGGGTGTGGGTGTGGGTGTGGGTGTGGGTGTGGGTGTGGGTGTGGGTGTCAGTCTGTTCAATACATCCACACCACTCCACACCCTCAGCCACGCTCACACCCACACCCACCCACACTCCACCCAATTTTTTAGTTATCCTCATCAAGGTCGGCAACCTCGGAACTATTTTTCGGGCGACATCGATTCTCTTAATCTACATTGGAGGTTTATTTGGTATGAGTCTAAGCCAGCGTTAACTAATGAACGTGTACGTGAAATTGTACACAGGCATTTATTCCGACTCACGCAACTTTTCTCTTATAGAGTAACAGGTAATCAGTTTAATTCAAATCCAAATGGCAAGAAGTCGTCTCGTAAGTTTTACGGTGGTCACCGCATTACTATAAATTCAGATAGAGAAAGTTTCAAACAATGACTCACAAGTAATTACCTCGAGCATGCTGGTCGAATAATGAACACAAACAGCTCTTATAACGATATTGATGAAGCATGTGCACCGGTTTTCGAAGCTGAATGGTTAAAATCAACACTAACCATTCCAAATGCAGCATATGAGGTGTGGGAGAAGCTGAGACAGCTTGAAGATGTCAATCCTCTCGAAATTCGAGAAGGATCTTATTAGCAACACGTACATTCTGATATCATAATTGAGATTCTTATTTCATCATGAATATTACAACCCAATATTTTTGCAATAGAAGAAATAATCGCGAGAATTCCGTATTGCATAAGAAAATAAACTATAAGGTAAAGTTTAAAGCAAAATAAAAAAGTCGTGTGTATTCGCCTATATTCTGTTCTTCCTGTGTGAGTGCTACAATGGAACAATTATTTTGTGTATTTCCAAATTGTTCTTCATTTAATTGTGGGTGTGAGTGTGAATGATTAGTCAATTTATAGAGATCCAAACTCACACTTACACACCACATCCGTACCCACACCAACACTCTCAACCCACATCCTTCCAGCTAAGTCTTTCTCAAGAAATGTAAGAAGCATTATTTTTATATAGTGCAAACTGAATTATATGTGTCATAGAGTAGCTGATAATGTGAGAACAGACGAAAAACTGTGAGTATAGTTTCTTAATTCAATAATACAAGCACTGTCAATTATTTGAAAAGTGTTTTAATAAGCGACGTTGTCATCTCACTTCTATTAGCCAATAATTCCGCTGATTTGGGTATTTCCTTACCAAGTATTCCGACATCACCATCTTGATCTGGAATATTCGCTATATTAAATGCTACAGTCGGCGCAATATAGATCAATTCATTAATTGCATCCTGTTTAACGGGCAAATCTAAATGTGAATATCTCAGAGTTGCCATAATTACGGGACGACAAACTCTTAGAATTAATGCATATGTTTCATGTGTACACTTTTCCAATGTTAACTTTGTACGATATAAATCTTTCAATTGTGGGCAAATATCATTGAGAATATTTTCCAGTTCACAGATATATTGATGATAGAAATGTTCTGCAAGAATATTTGATGTTTGGCCAACAATTTTCTCTAGTTCAATACTTAGTCTTTCGCGTACATCGTTATCTGTTGGATGTGAATTCAACTGAAGTTTTGAGTAACCATGTGCTTCAAACATCAGTTGTTCAATGGGATGTGTGCATTTAAGAAATTCGTCGGTAAGGTCGAGAAAAGAGTCATGGAATTTCTTTTTAACATTATCGACAAATTTTGCACGTTCTTTAGTAACAATAGTAGTATGCCAGTGATTGGCTTTGGCAAAAGCAGGTTGAAAGATATATTCATAGTAAACTTGGTCCCAATTCTCGGTGTTGTGTTGTTTAATATACTCATCAATTGACGTCATAGCCAGATTCTGTGGCCAGAGTTGAGTTTGCTTGATTTTATCAAGTCGTTCCAACACATGTCGAACCAATCGCATCCGTCCCAAATTAACTAGTTGTTTCAAATGTGTTTTCGGTAATTCAAATTCAATAAATTTATTGAGACCATCTTTACTTCGTTCAAATCCTTGTTCCAAATCGCCACCAAAACTATGTAGTTTACGATTAATAACACGAAATTCTTCGGAGTTTTCATCCAGAATTTGTATCCGTGGACAGGCAGCATAAATATGTTCTGGTTTAAAATGTTTATCAATGAGTTCAGTAGAAGCTTTATCATAATGTTCTTGATAGATTGTTGGAGTTTGACATAAGTCAAGTTTGGTGATGATACCGAACGCACGTTGCATTGCTTCAAAGTGATTTTGTTGAATTTCGTGGAGAAGACGGATCTGTGGTTCAGTTAGACTTGGTTGTTGACCGTTGGTAAGAAAAAGGAAAGCGTCGGCTGTTTTTATAGCTTGTAAGCCAGCATCACGATGTTCTTTAATGGGAGAATCAAAACCAGGAACATCTAGAAGTTCGTAGTTCTTGCCTGTCAAATATAAAAGGAAAGGATCAAGTTAGCACAAACAAGGCTGATCTAATCTCTAATACTTAGAGATTGTTAAAATGGAATGGATTATTAAATATGGCAAAGGTATGCATACACACATCTTGAAGTTAAAAGATATAATTGTCAACATACGCAGATTTAGCGTGTTTTCTGGTAGTATTTGCATTTTTATTCATTTAAAACTATCCAGCCGTGTCTCTACGTAGTTCGAAACTTTCGAAACAGGAGTTTTATATTGTTCGAACAGCAGTTCGTATGGTTAATAGTTGTTTTTAACCGACGGCGGGTGAGCATGGTGGAAGAAAAGTCAAATAGTTCCTACTCATGAGAACTTATGTAAAAATTGTTTGCCCTCAAAACAAGCGTTTTAGTCGTTTTTGTGTACTCAAAAAGTGAGTACACTATAGAATCGGTCAGCGTGTCCGGCCGTTTACACGATAACTTTCGAAAGGAGAGTCCGATCGCGATGAAATTTTCTTCACAGTTTCGTCTCATCAATATCTCGGTCGAGTTCAAAGATGAGATAGATTCGTCGAGCCATTGCTGAGTTATCGGAAAAAGAATCATTATTCCCTATGCTTTTCTATGTGAACATGGACCTATCCCGCTTTTCGTAAAAAACTTGTCCTCTCATAATCAAACAAAACCCCAACTATTATATACCATTCGATAGAGAATTTCACGAGCTACAAAATGGTATATAAAACATTAAGAAACAAGAAGGCTAAGTCACTTATTGCAAAGATACTTAATCGGAAATTGGTTCTGTTCTTGTCCACGTTTCAATCGATCGAAAAGTAAAGCTCCATCTTCCGATCACAGAGATGATAGTTCGAGGTTTTCTACGACGGAGAACTCGAAGCTGAGCCCTACTTGCCTCGAAATCCTATTGGTTGAGCAGTAACCAATAGAAATCAAGTTTTAATAGAAGGGGCTCCCTAGGATAGTTTTGATGCGTACACGTGCTAGGTTGACTCATCTGTTGAGTTCACTTTTTGAAGTACACATAACACGTGGATTTAAATCCGATGTTTCCACATTTATTAACGATTTAGAACTAAAGTTTCATAAAATTCAAATTATATAGAATTCAGAATTGAAACGACCTAATGCGAAAATCGCGGTTAAAATCGTCTGGCTCGATGATTTTCAGTTCTTTCTGAGGATGTCTAAAAGAGCTTGATCTTCTTTACTACATACCTGGTAGCTTATCCGTATAAATTGCAATTTCCTTAATAATATTAACATACAATTCTCCAGTTATATAATTATGTAAGTATTTAATAATAGCCATACGCTCTCTTTTTGCATCATTGAGGTCAGTAATACGAAAATGTTCTTCTGGAAATTTAGCTTTTAACATTTCTCGTGCTTGAATCACCTGATCTTTACGTTGTTGCAACTGTTGTGGATTTTCATCTGTTTTCTTTGTCATTTTACCAAAGAATAAATGAAACTCCTGGTCATCGTAAAACTTGACAGTGGCAAACAGCTGCTGATCACCATTCTCAAGTGGTGGTTTGAGCACGGTACGTATCTGAGTACACCGTTCACTTGCCGTTGGCAAAAGTTCATAACCAAGAAGTGCATTGACAAATGTTGATTTCCCAGCTTTTTCTAAGCCAACAATGCAGATCGTATATGATGGCTTGCCATGTAGCTCCTTCAATTGCAATATATTTTTCTTTATATCACTGATATAATTATCAGAAGCACTAGCTTTGGTTTCTTTATCAACAAACTCTAAGCATTGTAAAATTTTAACATATTGTTGAACTAATATGTTAAATTTTTCTTTCATTTCATCTCTTGCACTATCATCAACTTTCTGTAAATAATTATTTAATTCCTGAAATGATTCAGGTGAGAGTATGGTATCACGTGCTGTTTCTAGTTCCTTGTATGCAGCATAGATTTTACGTATTCGATCGTTGTTATCATATTTAATATTTG